GCCTGGTATAGTGTGTTGTGGCCATGCTTGATAAGAGAAAGCCAGAAAAGCATTAGCAGCATTTTCAAAAACCTGGTGCAAGCCAATCCAGAAAGGAAGTTCACATTTTTATTAACCAACCTAACCACGCTCTTATATGATAAGACGTTAAGCAACAAGCATGAGATATAACTTACTACTATTGTTAACCTCACAAGCATATGGTAGTACCTTTACAAAACACCAAAAACAATACCAAGTGAATGTCTTTGTGGAAAGAAAAGAATAAAAGTAGTGGATTTTACTAAACTATAAAAGGAATTTGGTAAGATAGAACAAGATGGTATGTGATTTACATATTGAAAACAAAAAAGTAAGAGACTATGTAAGGTAAGGTTTTTGGCAGTATTTATACACATTTTTGTTTCATTCCTAGTGGTGCAAGTAATAGGTACTCAAAAAAGCAAAAAAAAAAAATACTATAAGCACTTTGCAAATTCAGGTTATGGTTTATATATTACAGAATGACTAATCCAATTGCTAGAGTATAGAATATAACCAACACGCCCGTTGTTGGTTATATCAAACTCATCTCTAATAATATTACTGCCTATGTTTGTATAAAGCCATTTTCCAAGTGCTTTCACATGGTTATTTATTTTAATCCTTTCCCAAGTCCACTCAGGTAAGTGGTAACTACCCACTCAAAGCCAAGTTTATCCTTGTTAAGAGTCCAGACCAAAACAGTTTTCAAACCATCAGAAGCTCATTTGTCACTCGCCTGCAACTGCTTTAAGGCCTGTAATTTCTTTGATTCTAGTGCACAGTGGACATTCAATAATTAGGTAATAAATACATTAATTTTGATCCTAAAAAGTAAATAAATTTAGAAGGAATAAAATTGAGGGTAGAAATGCCCTGTGCCTCATTAGTATACCATGTGATCAACATACCACATCATAATAATTAACTACAGCTTGACCCTTTCCAAGGTTCCTTGTTCCTGCTTGCTGAAAGAAAAGTCTCTTATTTAGAACTCCAAACTGACTGTGTAGCTGTGTCAAAGAACGTGGATATCTACTCTGAAAAAATATAATTCGTCATATTTAGAGAACTGATATTGTCATGCATAAGTGACAGAAACAACTTCCCAAAGTTGAGAATAATTCCAAAAACTAAAATGTTACTCCACACTAAGAGGTGCAAAGAGTAGGGAATAAAATGAACTGAACTTGTTTTAGCCCCTGGGTGGGCTCCTGCTGCCCGCCTCTCCACAACCAAGTCTGAACAATTCTCTCAGTTTCTTGCTCTTACTGAAGAAGCAGAAGGAAGAGAGTTACTCAAATTAATTGGCCCTGCTGTTAAATCCTGAATGACCTTCATTCCAACCTAGATTTGTATCAGCTTGTTTCAATTCAGTAACTCCAATGTCCTTCAAATATTCTACTGTAATAATGCTGTCAATACTGTTAGCACCTTCTAAAAAATAAAAAAGTAAATGTTCTCTTGAGTTTTTGGTTTGGGAACATTTCAAGCCAAACAGTGAAAGTTGCCACATTGTTTATATCTCTCCAATTGGGATTTTAGAGGAAGGGAGAGACGAATCATAAGAAGAAGGTGGATGGCATCAAAAGGCAGAAATTTTCCTGCATGGGAGCAGTCCAGAAAGACTTTGTGTAGAGGTGGGATTTGGAATACTTTTTTAGGTGGTGTGTCCTGCTTATGGTCAAAGTGTATTGTATTCTTTATTTCATTTAAAAAGTTAGAACTACCTATCCAGTAAAGTAATATTCAAAAGGGGTTATTTTAAACCACTCGGATTTCTACATCCATCTCCAATTCCATATTCCAAAATACAACTCACCTCACCTACTGGACCTCTACCCTGACCCCACCCTCCAGCCACCTCCTTTGTAAAGAGGCTGCCATTATTACTGAAATGTGGTATAAGCCTCGAGACTATAGGAGTAGGAAAACAAATTGTAAGAACCAACACGAAGGAAGGAGGAGAAGCCACATGTTTCAGGCCTAGCATTTACCAAACCCTGTTATTTACATGTTCAGCATTAGTTCACATTTAGACTACATGCACATTGTTCTTTGCTAGTTGCTACTAAAGCATTAATGTGATACATGTAAATGTTGAAAATTGTCTATATTATATTATAACCCAATTTTGGCATTTCTTCACATCTGAATATATCTGGAGTATAAACCTGGGTATCTACTCCAGGGTCCTTCTCTCACTATAATCACTGGTGTCGTTTCTAGAATTGAGGCAATCATAAAGCCAAAATAATGGGCACTGAGAATGGGAGAACTCATCTAAATGTCAAATTAAACTTTTATAAGGAGTGCTTAAGGGATTAAAACTACAGTTTTTTAAATTTATTCTATTTCTGGGATGTGTGCCAGCAAAACATAAAGTCCTTGAAAACCCACAGCACAAAGAAGACTTGAGCTGCTAGTTGTGGCTCCTCAAGCAGTTTCTGCAACTTGTCTGGGCCTAAATTGCCTCAGTCATTTTAAAACGTGGGGGGTAGGCGGTGGAGGCCTCTCAACCAGCTAGTCCCTTCAAGGTCCCTTTCAAGTTTTAAAGCCAATTATAGAAGTACTAAAAATTACGTTCAATATATAAAATGTCTAATAATTTCAAAAAACAAAAGGCAAGAGGGCCTCAAACATAATTCTTAAACATTCAGAAAGACCTCATAATAATTGTGAGGTGTCATGAAAAGTGCCCTTTTGGCCTGGCTGTCATTGGCTTCAAATAAAGCCTGAGCCACAGGAAAACTATTTTAACTCTCTGAGAAGATTAAATAGTTAATCCACTGGGAAACCTTGTTGAAAAACAGAATTCACAAATCCGCTTCCCAGAAAGAAGCATTGAAAATAGCAAACATAGTTGTTATATTCTGAATAAAATTATTCCATAATATACTGTATACAAATACTTTCTATTATTTAGCATTCATTTTTATGGATGTGTTTTTCTTCCTGATCTAAAACTCAGATAAAGGTAATGTCTAATGTTGACAGAAGACAACCATTTATATATAAGTCAGAGTCACACAGGTGAGTTGTAACTTGCTTGGGGGGAAAAACATCCATAATAATGAAAATTCCAAGTTCCCTTCTTTGAGGAGAAATTGATGTGAATTGGAGATTGGGCAGATTATGGAAACTGATGTGAACTGGAAGATTGGGCAGATTATGGCATTAACTGCCAGGATAATTTCTGCTTTCATGGCTTCACTAAACTGGAATTTCTAGTGCATCATGCACTATCCCATAATTATGCATCAAAATATTAACCAATTAGCAGGTAAGATGCTAAGAGCTCAAGGGGCAGTGATAATTAGACATGAAACCTGAACTTCCATGGAGTTTCAAACAAGCAGGCCCATCACACTTCATAAATTTAACAAACTTGCTTTCAACTCACTTCATCTGCTAGTTTTTACTCCTCTCTTTCCTTTCCTTTCTTCCTGGTCCAAATATAAAGACATACAAGTAGGGCATGAATGTTATACTTCGGAGGACATGATATAAATGAAATCCTTCTAATGCATAGGCTTTGGAGTACAATTTGTGTATGATGTGTGTTTAGAAGCAGAGAGCACTTTTTGTTTCTAAATCACTGTTCATGAGGAATGTATGAACTAAAAAATGCTGTTAAAATTAGAGAGAAATAAAAGCTGCACTGGAACAAATGTCTCTCGTGTCTAGTGTGTGCCGCTGTCTCTATTTTGTGTTAGTCCCAACACAGTCTGTGCGTTGGAAGGGCCTCATGTTGCTAGGTCTAAGCTCTGCAGAAGCAAGGATTGTGCCTGTCACGTGTTGTGCATCTGCAGCTGTGGGAGAGCACTCAATACAGAGTAGGCACTTGATATTTGTTGCATAAAGGAAGGAATAAACAAATGACCAAATACCAGATATCCAGCTACTGCTATACAGTAAATATTTCTAAGACCCCAGCTTATCTCCCTAGATATTTTCTAAACATTACATTGTTTCAACTAATTTACCACACGTGTATATTCATGTTTCAGCTTGAAAGATCCTTACTACATTGAAATTAGTTTGTAAAATGTTTTGGAAACATTGGAAAATATGTTTAAGAACACAGAAACAGGTATCAAAAGCCTGAATTTGAGTTCCACTTTACATATTTAATGGCTGAGAAATCTTGAACAGGTCACCACTGTCTTTGAGAGTGATCTTTTCATCTGTATAATAAGGATAATATCTGTGCAGCTTACCTCATAGGGTCTTTATGTAGATTAAGTAAAATATAAAAAGTATTACAAATAGAATGAAACAAAAAGACCACAAAAACCTAAATGTTTCCTCTTCAGGGTCTTTATGTAGATTAAATAAAATATAAAAAGTATTATAACCAGAATGAAACAGAAAGACCACAAAAGCCTAAATGTTTCCTCTTCAGTCACAAGAGCACCCAGAGTAAACACATTGTTGGAAAAGTCAAGTTAAGAATGGCAAAATAGTTTCTTCATGTCAATATGGTGGTATCGTTTGTGCCAACAGTTTGACTAACAACAAAATCATCACATATTTAATGGACTAAATATGGAAAGTTCTTACAACCCTTAGTAACATCATATTGCCACCTCAGCGTGAGGAAAGAGAAAAAAGTTCAGGGAGGTCACAGTGCAAATCAGTACCAGTGACAGTCCTATAACAGAGCTTTTGATTGTCCAATCAGCTCTCAAGACTGCTGAGCAATGCTACCTCTTAGAAGTGCTTCAGTAAATTGAAAATACAGCAAATCAGACATTAAAAAGTAATCTAAACTCACTGTCAAAAATATGTACTGTTCTCTGCTAAAAGCCAAGCAGAAATTTTAGTTCACAACCACATAGATCAGCAGTTTTTAACCTTTTTCTCTCATGGTACACATAAGCTAATTACTAAAAAGCTGTGGCACACCCAAAAATATATTTTTTGCCAATATGATAAAAATATTGGTATAATTTTGATTCATTCACATTGGACGGCTATTATTGTGTTGGCTGTTGCCATTTTTTTATTTGACAATCTAAGGGAAACGAGGTCAGAACCCCCAACTAAGTAGTCCGATGTTGCACGCTTTAAACATTCTTGTGGCTCCTAATGTGCATGCTGTGTGGCACACACCACTTGAAAATCGCTGACATAGACAATAACATGAAAACCAATGGTTATTCCTGTATCTCCATTTTCATTCAGCTGTTACATTTTGTAAGCTAAAGTTCCTGTAAAGGGAAAGAAAGAAAGAAAGTCTCAAATATTATTCCAGCATTATGACAGGGAAAGGAAATACAACAGTCTCATAATGTCTTAGATTTAGAATCGGCTACCATATGGAGCCCATAATTAGTAACTTTCTACACCTATGCACTAGGTGGGAAAAAATATTGCTACTAAATCAAATCTTATATATACGTGTGTGTGTATGTGGGGTGCATGTGTGTATAACCACTCTAAAAACAGACACCTAATGTTTTTGTATTTTCTTGATCTGAGGGTGAAGTTAGTCTGTAATAGAATGGCTTTTATTTTATGTTTTTTCTTCACATATTTTAAATTATAGAGCAGCATTATCCAATAGAAATGCAATACGAGCAACATTATATTTAATTTTAAAAATTTCTGGTAGTGCCCTGACCACAAAACAAAAGGCTACCAGTTCCATTCCCAGTCAGGGCACGCACCTGGGTTGTGGGTTCCATCCCCAGCCATGGTGCAGACAAGAGGCTACCTCTTTCACATCAATGTTTCTCTCCCTCAGTTTCTCCTTCCCTTGCCCTCTCTTTGAAAATAAGTAAATAAAATTTTATTTTTTAATTTCTGGTAACCACATTTTTAAAAAGGAAAATTAAATATATTAAATTAATTTTATTAACATTTTATTTAACCCAACATATTAAACTATCACTTTAATATATAATCATTACAAAGATCATTGATATGTTTACATTCATTTTTTTCATACTTTTTCATAAGTCTTTGAGATTCAATGCATATATTACACTTACCACACACGTCAATTAGGACACTAACTGTACCGGAAATACTTTATCAGTATTTAGATTTCATAAACTTAACAGTTAAAAAGTAGATCCACATAATAAGTTGTCCCAAGCATACATAAAATTTTTCCAAAAACTGAATCAAAGGCCAATTTTTATAGTCCTTTAAAATTTAGTAGCATTGATCATCACTCCAGAGGGGTCAGGTAGTGCAGCTGTCACCCGAATCCATAACCACCACACCTCAGATATATACTCTGCCAAAAGGCATTTTCAAATACTGAATAAAAAATGTCCTCCCTAAATGAGAAAGTTTCTGTTTAACTTCTTTTCCTCAAAGTTTTATGTGACCCATGAACTTATTTTGAGAAAACCTCAAATAGAGTCATCAGCTTTGACATAATAGTAATTCCATCTAATAAAACACAAGAACCTCTAGGACATTTTTGCTCATTTACATAAGTAGAGTCAACTCTCTATTTATTACCTGTTATTACATTATACATTGAAGAAGAAAAACAGGTCAGATGCCCTGCTGATTTGTCTATTTGTTGATGAACAACAAATTTGTTGATGCCCTGCTGATGAAGTTATCGCAAACTGGAGGGTAGGATGAGAGGGCACTGGGAAGGTTCAAGACTGAGGAAATACTTTAGCATTAAGTTCAGGTCCTCTCTTTCTGAGCTCTGTCTTTTCTAGCAAAATCTAGGTATGAATCATCTGTCAAAGCCATTCATTTGTAGCTGAACTAGTACAGAACCAGGAAGAGGCAACTGACTTTACCTCGAAGTAAAGCTTTGCAAAGCATGTTTCGCCTCTAACCTCTGTAAGGCTTAATGGTTAACAATCAGGGTTAGAGGCAGGCAGTTTGGGTTGGAACTCTTGTTCTGCCACTTGCTATCGGTTTAACTTTGAGCAGGTTACTTCATCTTTCTGTGTCTCATTTGTAAAATGGCCTTAATAATAATGGGACCAGATCTAAGTCAAAGATTGCTATGGGGGAATAAATGAGATTTCACAGGCCATAACATATCTTAACACACAGCACTGATCCTGGCACATGGTACGTACCCAACAATCATTGCTATTTTTTAACTCAGAAATCTGGATAATGGAGATGAGGATAAATGCTTAACAAATATTTGTTGTAAATAAAAATATATGTCCAAGCACTTGATAAATACCAAAGTGCTATATAAACTATTTTCATCTTATGTAAAATTAGTTTAGAAAGTGGATCTACTCAATGTATTTCATGAAGAAAAACACAGATCTTCACGATGTGGCTTACTAAATTGTTAAATTTTTATAAAGCCTTTACCCAACAATCATACCTACACCATTCACTTAAATAGTACTCATATGCATATCAAAACCAACATAAGTTATTTACCTGTCAACCTCACTTTAGGGTGACCCATGGCTCTGCTCTCCTCTACTGCAAAGCAGCATCAGATTTAACAGCACGGCCAATAAATTGCCCTGTGATGTTCCAGGGGTGTCCAACCTTTTGGTGTCTCTGGGCCACATTGGAAGAAGAGTTGTCTTGGGCCACACATTAAACACACAAACACTGATGAAAAATGATGAGCAAAAAAGAATAGGTTTTAAATAAATTTACGATTTTGTATTGGGCCACATTGCATTCAGAGCCATTTTGTGCTGCAGGCAGCCCATGGAGCTGCGGGTTGGACACCCCTGTGAGAGTATTTACAGATAAAAATCTTATTTTTAAACATTTTATTTCTTTATTTTTAGACAGAGGGGAAGGGAGGGAGAGAAACATCAATGTGTGGTTGCCTCTTGTGTGCCCTGCACTGGGGGAACCTGGCCTGCAACCCAGGCACGTGCACTGACTGGGAATCAAACCTGCAACCCTTCGGTTCCTAGGCCGGTGCTTAATCCACTGAGCCACACCAGCCAGGGCCAGATAAAAATCTTAAATCTCTAAAAATGGTTTCTCTCACAGCCAAATTTTCTGTTTCCATTACCATTTCATGTTCCTTCATCACATTCCTTGACTAGATCAGCTAACGAACAAAGCTGCTCCTTACTGGACTTCCAATTTCCTTTCCCTTCGTCTGCCATCATTTATAAGCATTAAAAGACCAAAGGAGACACAGTAGCAATAAACAGGAGAAACAAACGAATCCAACAATTAGATAAGTAGCCCCAGAATAACCAAGGCCAAATTAAAACTTCAAAAGCTTTATAACAGGTGATTCTAAACAGTCATAAAACTGTCACTTCCAAAGGTGGTTATTTCCTGGTCCGTACAGGGCATGCAAAAAACTTTAAAATTACTTTTATTCTTTAAAGTGATAAAAATACAAAGTATATCTAAAACTGCCATTTCTATGCCTAACCAAGATTGTCACTAAAATAACAGAAATGCTGACATCATAGGATTTGCAAAATAACTTCCCAGAAAGACGACAAGAGTAGAGGATTTTAAAAAATAAATGCTTGATAAAGATTATTTTTATAACTCTTAAAGTATATATAAGGAGACATGGATTCACAGTAGTAGCCTATCCGAGCTGTGAAAGCAACGCACTTATTCCACCATGAATGCTTCATTAATATTTCAGGGATGATGTTGCAATTTTCCATGAGCAACTGTCAGCGCTTTGCTTCTTGACATGTATCAAAGCGATTTAAACTACATTCAATACTCATGTATCTGCCATTGACCAAAATGCAATTCTGAGGTATCCAGTATTTCCAAATTCACCCCCAGGCACGTGTAATTTTATATTGGATCCACCCTGCACGCATTTTAACCCTTCGGACCGACCCATCGCCAGTGATTTTGTCTTCAATATAATTCCCATTCCAACCCCTTCGAAGCCAGATGTGTCTCCTCCACCCACACGCCGGTGCCATTGTCCTCTCCGCGGTGATGCTTAAGGAGGCTCTCACTGGCACAGACCTGTATCTAGAACCTGCGGGTGGAAGCGCTGTCAGGCTGATGCTTTGTCTCCTGCCTCGAAAGGCCGGGGTTGCTTGTACACGTATGACACTCTCTACCTAAAAACAGCGCCGCAGTCCAGCAGCCGGGGTGCTCCTCCAGGCAAACGCGGACCGGCAGTCGCCCAAGGCAGCCCAAGCTGAGACCACTGTGCCACGGGTGCGGGACCCGGAGGGGTCAGGGCGCCTGGGGCACCCGGCGCCGCGCAGCCGCTGGCCACCTGCAAACGCCGACAGCGGGTGGACTGCCGGGGTCTCCGCCGCGAGCGCCAGGCCAGCGGGCACCCGCTGCCTCGGTTTCCACAGCCGCCGCCCGCCCGCCCGCCCGCCGGACCGCCCCTCAGGTCTCCTCGCCCCGGCGGCCGGCGCCCCGGGCCAGAGCGGGTCCCCGCCGCGCCCGCCGTCCGCCCACCGCCGCGTCCGTCCTCACCTGACAGCCACCCGCACCGAGCTCTCGTCCGGGGCGCCCCACATCCTGGTGGCGGGCGACAGCCGAGCCCCTGGGCCTCCGCACCGCAGAGCTGAGGCGCCGCCGGAGCCGCGGCGCTGGGGCGCGGGAGGCTACAGCGGCAGGGGGCGGCCGGCTCACCTCCGCGGCGCTCCAGCCATGTTAGGCGACTGAATGGAAAGGTGGCGGCGGCGCCGGTGCTGGCGCTGGGGAGGAGGTGACTCCCTCCGGCGGGCGCCGCCCCTTTTTCCCCTCTCACCCCCGCCCCCTCCGGGATCTGGGGCGGCGACCAGGCGTGCCTGACTGGCGAGCGCGGCGGCGGAGGAGCCCGCAGGCTGCCCGCGGCCTCCAGACGGCGGTGTCCGTGTGCCCTGCCCCCTTTGCCCGGGACTCCGCCCTCCCGCGGCCGGCCCGAGACTCCACGTCCTCCTGGGCGCTCGGGGCTGCGGGCCCCGCACTGCGTCAGCCGCGGCCGCGGGCCCGGCCCCCCTCGCCTGCCCGCGGCGGGGCGCTGCCTGGCGCTGCCGGGCGTGGAGGCGCGCGGGGGAGGGCCACCGGCCTGCGCGCCCTCCCAGGCTCTCCGGGGACAACGCTGCAGCGGACGCTCGCCCGGTCGCCTGAGTCTCTGCTAAAATCAAAGCGTGTGCACCAACGCAGCGCCAAGAATCGGCCAGCTGCCGCTCGGATTTGGCTTTGTTTCCACTCTTAGCTTTATTGTCCTCTCTCGGGCCTGGACTTTGACCCCCTTCCCCAGCCCCCCGGGTGAACGCCAGCCCTCCCGGGAATCAGCCACTCCGGTTAAACTGGCTCCCGGCTTTGGCTGCTGTCTCTGTTCTGCAGCCCATCGCCCCTTGACCAGCTCGCGTGGGATATGGGAATGATTTACCCTTGAGACTCTTGAATGCGTTTCTGTTAAATCATTTGTGCACTGGTAAATGAACTGTACCCTGGTAATGCCAAGTGTTCCAAGAACTGAATATCCACCGAGACCTGCTGTATAGTAAATCCTTCCAAACTGACTTTCCTTGCCTTCTGGCCTTCAAAAACCTCCTCTCAACCCCGGGATCCCATCAACATTGACCCATTGTGGTTTCTGCTTGTGGCTATTGTGCTTCCACATGCCTCGAGATAACGCTGTGGAAACAGCCTTTATTAGCTTTACCACAGAGTATCTTTTGTGGAATGCCCATACAATTTCCCTGAATAAACATGTAGGGACGCATGAAACAGTAGAATAGATTAAATGTCACCATCTAAATAAAGGCACGGCCCCAAGTACCTACAATAGAAAATCCCATGCCTAATATCCTACCCAGCAGAAATACAGCAGCAAGGGTAGAAGGAGGCAGCACACTTTGGGACAAACAGGAGATGTTTAATGATCTTAGGGAATGCCTATGGGATGTTTAATTATAGATAAGTTTAACCTTACTCTGTCTCTTGACCTTGATACCTCTGAGTCTTAACATGTACACAACCGGGAAGTAAAGAGACCAGTGATGGTGAATATCCTTTCATAGAACATTATCGGTAGCAAAGCTCTCCTCTGGCTGTCTTTCCGGAGAGCACCTCCTCCCCTCAGTATTTGTCTATCAACCAATCTGAGCTCTGGTTCCTTCTGTCCTCACAGTCACCCCCCCCCCATCTGGATGGCTCTGGACTGGACACTTTGCTTCTTGGAATGATAAAAGATACAACAGAGGCTAATAAAGCCAAGCACATTTAGCAAGAAAACTAAAGAGGTGTGTATAATTAGGACCTTTTATTTTTTTTAAAGTTTCATTTAAAGTAGCATTAGTACATAAATATGTCAATAGGAGCTGTTAAGTACAAATGCCACCCACCAGAAGCCAGGCAGGTGACTTGAGTGAGTGAAGTGGGCAGGGCAAGGACAGTTGCAGAACAGGGAACACAGGCCCTTCCAAAGGCAGGGGCCATCCCCAGCTCTGGACTGCTGGAATGCAGGCCCTCTGCCGCCAAGCTTTTTGTTTGCTTGTATGTTTGCTCCTTCTCAAGAATCAGAGACAAAGCAGACCTTTATGTGAAAACTCAGTTTTTTAAACATCAACCACGAATTCAGTGCTACACTTACATAGCATCCAAAACAATCAAAATATGTCTTGGGCCAACCTCAGTCCCAAGCACCAGGCTGAAACTTCTGACCAAAGTGCTAGCACCAGTATAGCTGTGTCTTTGAGTACAGGTTACACAAGGGGTCAGGAAGAGATAGTGTAAAAATTCAGATTCTCATTGATGACGGAGTCAGTAATTTTCTTCCAAATCTCAAAATTTGTAAATTAATGATCTATTTTGTATTTACTTAAAATTCCTTTATAGCTGCTATAATCCTCTTCCTTATGACTCATCTAATTATCTTTTTTTATCCTCACCCAAGGACATTTTTTTCTCATTGCCTTTTAGAGATAGAGGGAGAGGGGGTTTGAGAGAGAGGGGAAGTGAGGGAGAAAGAGAGGGAGAGAAACATCGATGTGAGCGAGAAACATGGATTGGTTGCCTTTCTTATGTGCTGAAACCCCACAACCAAGGCACATGACCTGACTGGGAATCAAACTGGTGACCTTTCGCTTTAAGGGAAAATGCCCAACTGAGCCACACCAGCCAGGGCTCATCTAATAATGATCTTAAGTTGAAGGAAACTCCAAGAAAAGAGTTCTTATCACAAAAGTAGTTTAAATCCTATTCCAATTATTCCTGCAATAAATATGTAATAAGTGAGTGCTATTATGCAGACAGTGCTGGACACTAGATATGAAGAGGATTGACTGTCAGTTTCTACAAGGGACTTACAGTCTAGTTCAGGGAGAAAAATTTGAAAATCTATGATTGCAGTATTAGAATTTATGACAAGAGTATGATGAATTCCATCTGGCAGGGTGAGGAATTCTTCAGGTATAGACCATTCAGGATGATCTCCCTGAGTCTACTCTTACTTGTACGCTGAGTCAGGGTGATCCTTTAAAACATAATTCATTTATGTCGTTCTCCTGTCTGAAACCTCCTAAACGCTACCTAACAGAAATAGAATAAACTCTTCTAGACTTTAAGGCCCTTCACATTCTGGCTTCTCCAAGTTCTAATCTTATC